TTGCACATCTTTTCAACAGGAAATGCATTTAAAAATTAATGCATATTTAAAAGAACGATGCTATTTTCAAATTACTTTATACCGTTGGAATGCGACGAACCAAAAGTCTATAAATATAAAAATGAACCAAAAAAATATTACATTTAACTTTATAAATTATAATTGTAATAAACATACTTAGATACATGTATATTAGGAAAATATTATGTCTTGTGAAAACATTTATTTATATCAGAGGTTGAATATAATTCCAAAACTATGATTCTTTTCTCCATTTTGACTATCGGGCATTAACATTCCCCAAGTGCTTGGCTATTGATATACATTCATCCACGTCAACAATAAGAAATAAATAAATGAACGATGACAATTTCGTTTTTATTATCCATTATTTCGTTTAATTAAGTTTGCAAAGAAAGTTAAAAAATACTTGCATTCATACGTTTTTACCAATTTTATACTTCGCTTGTTTCGTTTATTTCAAGTGATTCAATATGTTATTGAAAGAAAAGAGTGCAAACATATAATTTTTAATTGCTATTCCACATTGGCTTGAATTTGGTGAAGTTATTTATACATTATATTATCATTACATTCATATAAAGTCACTGTGATTTATACAAATTATATATTGTTGTAAATTAAAACGCCCAATTATCATTTTATGATAACGTTCTTTCGTTTGAAATTGTCTGTCATTATGATACAGTCAACGCAATACGAACTTTGAGATAAACTGCAGAGGACTATTAGTTAATTTTTGCGTTAGAACATGATGAAACTGGTTAAAATGAGTATGCATTGTTTTAGCTTGAAAAATAAAAGCAACGAAATAACACTTTAATTTATGCCATGGGTCTTAAAACATAATAAGAAAAAAGGTTGTATCAAATAAATAAAGAAACTTTTTTCAAACCCTTAAATTAGGACTGCTACTTATAGTCATGTTTGTTGATTGAATATTGATGTACGCATGATCTGAAGGCGGAGTTTCTCATGCAAACAAAAATTGTACTTCCAAATTCGCCACAATGAGGTTGCACATTTGTATGCTCATAAAACTCATTTTGGTTGTCTGGGCACCAAAATAAGACCTGGAGTCGATATGAAACCCAATTTATTAATGAAATGTCGCTATTTCTGTTTTTATGAAATTCATTAAATGTAACTTTAAGCAATGCTTTAGTGGTTTTGATACATGATACACTGAGAGTAAAGTGGGTCAAAAGATCAAGTATACATAATTTATGCCTCAATACCTACATAAGCATAACATTTTAATATGACATTTGTTATTTAAATATACTTGTATTTTGCCATTAAATTTGAACATTTTTACTCCTGTAGATACGGTTGAAATATACGTTATTATGGTGGCTGATTTGGTATACTTTGCTCGTTGCGTTGTTGATAGCAAAAACGGAACCTATATCATAATCGCCTTTTCGTCTTGTCGCTAGCCAAACGGCGCGTTGGCGCACTGTCGTCTTGTCGTCCTGTCGCAAGCGAAGCACACCAAACGGTGCGTTGTCGTGCGGCGCTTTGTTGCGATGTGGCCCTGTCGCTTGGCTTATATACATACAAATAGCCAATCCTTCGATTTGAGCCGATCGCAAATGTGACATCGCGACACGGATGCACGACAACGCTGCACGACAACGCGCCATTTAGCGCGCTTCGTTTGCGGAAGGACGACAAGACGACAGTGCGGCAACGTATGGCGCTTTGTCGTGCTGTCTCTTGTGACAACACCATGCACAAAGGTGTTTCAAATCAGCCACCATAGAAATGTGTGTTTTAAATATTAGAGGACAAGTTCAGTAGGTTAGATATACAACACAAATAGCAATTTTGGTAAGATTCTACCCTGATCGAATGCGGGTATACATCGGAATAATATGCAAATTTTAACCGCAACATATGACATATATTATTAATCTACTTGGGCATTATTTCACATTTTGTGATATTGTAACTGAATGAATACTTCGTTGATAAGTTGTTAATTAGATAATAACAACAATTGGACATAAGGTAAGTGTTCCTTTAAGTTATTTACTTTTTTTTTTTTTTTTCATTTTAACTTTTTATTTCTTTTATTTAAAAAACTTTTCGTTCTTTTCTCCATATAGAAGGACAGTTTGTATGGGATATTCAATTAACATAGTTTTTAAAGCAATTGTTTCTTTAATCGTAAATATATTTAATCATTTTTGTTTTTTCTTTCCTATTTAAATCCTTTTTAGATAAACATTTTTTAACCTGTATTTGAATGACTTCTTAAATTTGTGTGAAAGTAATGGGTAATTTGTCGACATTATTTTAATACAAGATTACTTAACGTTGAGTTTATTCATTGACAATTAATCTTGTTGATATCTGTTATTCTTTTAAGCGTCGGTAATTGCTGTAATCTTTTAGTACTTTACATTTAAAGTTATAACTTCCTTAGCAGCAGTATATAAGTACAAATGCAAAAATTCTGCTTTCCGTTTTTGTATTTTCTGATCGCAGATATAACATCCACCTTCAAACTTTTAAAGTAGCGTTGGCTTATAGAGTTGTTAATAAATGCACACTCACAAATTACGCGGATGAATATGATTTTAATCAATGAAAATGCTATTTTTAGCGATGTCGATTACCGAATACTACACAAATAAATCTGACTGCCGAGTAGTTGAATATATAGTTTTTACATGTTGGACTGTTTTGCGAGAAGATTTTTGCTAAATTATTTACTTCAATTTTAAACAACGGGTTTACCCTGAACAAAATACCTCGAAATTACCCTAACCCGAAATGCAATGGAAATTCTAAATTTAGAATGACTTGATTTTATTCAGCTTTTGATTTTTAAACTTCTCCGTGGTGCAGCGGTAACGCGCTCGTTTGGTGTGTGAGAGGTCTGGAGTTCAAATCCCAGTCGAGTCAACATTTTTTTAATTCTTTTTTTAAGTGTCTGTGTTAAGGAAATAGCCACGATATGCAAGGATAAAGTGTGGCTATCATAAAAAATGAACATAAATTTTTTTTGATGCAAATTCCGTATGTATCAAACTCTGGTGCCTGCAAGATGACTTATTGTACATAAAAATAAACTTATACAGGAAAACACATACAGATATACAGTACGATTTAGATTGCAGGGTTCAGAAAATACCACAGAGCATACAGCCCTTTGATTATTATATCTCTAGAGTATAACCTTTGGACAGAATCTAGTTTACGCCGATCTAGTGCTATAAAAGAATCATAAATTTGAAAGCTATATGTGACATGACAAGCGATTAATTGTCAATTTTTTATAATATATATTTATAAATATATTTATTTATAATATAATTATAGCCATCATCTGAGATATCAGTGTACGAAACTGTCAAGTAAAACATGCAACAGGAACCTGAAAATAAAACAAAATCAGGTAATTGGATTTATTTCTATATTTTAAATTGTCTATATCCGAGTTACTGCCATATTGGTTTTTTTAGTCATTGAGTTTTAGTGAAGAATATAGCCTATCAATGTATCGAACATGCATTACGGGACTCCACTGAGGTTTTTCGAAATAACGGGGCTTGAAATAATTTCTTCGGATTAGTGTTCCATTTGTGGGTCCAGACCATTAACTTTGTATACAAAATTTAGAACATTTGCTCACCATGCCTTTACAGCATAATTCTTCTAATTCTGAAAAAATAATCTTAAATTGCAAAACATTTAATCAAATTAGAATAACAAAAGCAACAAAATAAGATTTTCTTTTTATTTCTGAGTATATTTCTAAATTATCTTTTCCATATCTTTCAGTTTAAGTGCCCCCCCCCCAGCTGACCTGTGTTAAAAATTCAAATTAATTTTTTAGACTTTTGGACCTCAGTGGAGGTAAAATTGTTATTACACTAATTCTCGAATTCTCAAAATATGTTTTATAGGGATAAGTTATATGATAATTTTCTTACATATGAATTATTTGTATTCTTTTTTTTTATATACACATACAAAAACAAATTCGTGTCTCATATACTGAGAATGGGCGTCAACATTGTCATAAACTACATTATTTTATTAGGAAATATATAGTGTAAAATGTATAAGAACAGTCTTTTATATGTACATGTATATTACATAACTTTTCTTGTTTGTTTGTTTGTTTGTTTGTTTGTTTGTTTGTTTGTTTCATTTACGCCTTTTCCTAACAGTAATTCAGTCATATAGGCGGGTAGTTTCCTAACCATCTTTCCTGGAGAGTTACACCAGTACTAGATTACTTTCCACCGCGCTAAACTACCAAAGCATCTTCCGGGGATCGAACCCACATTACCTTTTTGTTTATCTTTTTTTAAAATAAGACGAACAAACAATTTGAAGCGTCAAAATTATATATATTTAAATTAAGAAGTAGGTTTTTGTTGTTAGGGTAAGCGCATTCAAAGAAAAAGTCTTAGTAAAAAAAAATAATAATAATAATAATCGAAACGAAGTTATAATTGTAAGGAACTCAGCCGTGTCTTGTTGTTGTTGTTGTTATTTACTTTTTTATTTACATTTTTTTTTACTTTTCGTTTTGTCATTGTATGTCCGTACCATTTGATGAAGGCCTATACCAAACATTTATGTACAACATTTCTGATTATTTGCTCACTCCGTGTTTCTTAAATAATAAGTTTTATAGCGCAAAATGAGAACAAATGAAGAGCGTTCCAACACTTTTAACACAAACCGGGCTAGGGATAGAACAAGATTAAATGATGTTCAATTAATTCTGAGCGTGTTTCTTTATTATCTATGCATATATTTTCTATTTTAAGTGAACCATTTCATATATGCAAGAATTTCAAATTTAATGATTCTTAGGCTTTTGGATCTTCGAAATTATAAATATGATCATAATATTCGTATGAATTATTTCAGGGTGCTTCGTGTGGTCATGCCGTTTTTCTTTTATAATCATTGCATTTCTTGGATGCATGAATATGTACTCGTTGAGGGTAAATATGAGTGTAGCCATTGTATGTATGACTGAGAGCCACAACAAAGGAAGCAAAAACACAAGCAAGATTGAATCAGCAAATATCTTTCAAGAAAACGCAACAGAAAGCAAAGTTAATAAGGTTAGTTTTAGTTAACGATAAAGTACTTAAAGACATTTTATTACCGATTTATATATCTAAAATCCTGAGGTATACATCGTCGGATATACACGCCCGAACCATTAACAGTTTTCATGTTATTCCATGTAACATGTTAATCAACCGTGGGTATCCGACGATGTGGGGTATAATGAACTGGTATAAATTGCAGAAAAAAAGTAGTCGAATATAAGAGGATTTTGCGCAATAACTTCTCCTATGACACGAGGACGCCTTTAAAGCCAAACACAACAAGCTAATGTATTTCACATATTCGAGAGCTTTTGCTTATCTACGACAATGTTGCATTAGCGTTTGTGATTCGAAATCTTTTATTCAAATATTTTGAAAAATTTGCAGCAACATTGCATACGCAGTTCTTATGCAAGAATACCTTTTCGTTTATACATCGTTTTTCAAAACCTTACATAAATTTAATTATATTATACCTCATTTGCATACGCCCTTCTATATCTAAAATGACGTCGTCCGGTTCATAAACCGCATACAGACCGGGGGCGGTCCATAATTCTTATATGGACTGGATGACGTCATATTAAATAGTAAACTTCGGGGTTTTTTGTCTGTTTAATTTGATTAACAAAAATTGAATAACAAAAGAAGAGCATGATTTGTTTGCTTTATCGCTTGAAAATTATTATAATTCCGACTAGAGTTTGAAATATTTCAAACACTGAACAAATAAATTATTTGAAAGTAAATGATAGTAAAATGTCACCAATTAAAGGGATGAAAGGATTTAGATTCGGTATAATATAACAAATAAAACATGGCCTTTCGGGCAAAATGCAAGTTTACGGACTGGCTGGTCAGACCTCGGAAAGTATATGTCCCTCAGCTGCGCTTCGGGCCATATACCTTTCTTAGTCTGACCAATCAGTCCGTAAACTTGCATATTGCCCTCAAGGCCATGTATCATTTGTTAAATATTATCTTACATTTTTATCTCAGATAGGCGAAACGTTTGATTGGAACGAAAGAACTCAGGGACTGATACTTGGGTCTTTTTATATCGGTTATATTCTAACACAAGTGCCAGGAGGCATGTTGGCGGGAAAATATGGCGGGAAACAAGTACTCGGATGGAGTATGCTCTTTTGCGCTGTTGCTACTATTATCACACCTTTCGTGGCACGAGCAAATGTCATTTTGCTCATAGCTGTGCGTAGCTTTGCAGGACTATGTCAGGTTAAAATATCTTATAGCATATGACAAATCATTGTTTACCATTGTTTACATATCCACTTAAGCATTTCTAGCCATAAGTTTATATAAAAGAAAAATACAAAGGCGATGTTCTCATTTAAATTACAGCAGAGGCAAATTGCTTTCAGTTAATTTTGTGCAAAGAGCTATTCATGTCTTAAATAAAAAGTAGTTCATTTATAATTGCTATGAAAAAAAATTAGGATAAGCTTTAATAACTTTTTTTGCAAACAATCTGTCTAACGAAACTATAGTTTAAGTATAGTAGATCTATGTAAATAAATGTTAGAATAAAACATATATAAAGTATTTAAAATGAAAACATTCTTTTGTGTAATAATTTACGATTTATTGTATACAATATAGTTGTATGCTTGATCACGTAAAAACAAGAATATTATTTACATGAAATATCTAATACAGGGCGTTACATTACCATGTATGCACAAATTGCTTTCCCAGTGGATCCCACCTTTGCAACGAAGTAGAGCGGTTGCTTTTGTTTACGCTGGTAAAACATTTCACATATCTTACTATTTCCTTTTCCCCATCAGTACAAAAAACTTGTATCTTATATTCTATAAAAATGTGTTATAATATTATGTCATAATCAATTACAACCGTGTTATATTTAAATAAATGAATTTGCTAATTTGCGGACAAGAACGTACCACGTAAAGATGACGTACATAACATACATGAAGTTCTTACAGTAGTTGATGCGCAAACAATATGACAGAAAATACTTTATTACAGGATTTCATTTTGGTATAATGGTTACGTTTCCATACAGTGGGGTGTTATGTGTTAATGGCTTTGATGGTGGATGGCCGAGTATATTCTATGTGTCAGGTATTCCTATCATCTCTCTCAACTATGTCCATTTCTCTCTTTTTTTTTTTTTTTTTTTTTTTTTTTTTTTTTGGACCAACTTTGTCATCTATACAAGAATTAAAGATTTGAATATAATCATACTAATTTCATGTAAATCAATTAAAAACTAACTTTTATGCGTGAAATAAAGGCAATATCATTCATAGAATATTACTCACGGGATGATTGATATGATTTTCACGTACTTTATGTTGGTTTGAGTTTATTTTTTACAGTCTAATATTATAATATATCTAATGTAAAATAAAATTGTTTGGATCCATATTAATTCATTTAATTATCTCAAGACAATTTTAGAATCTTGATCAAATAGATTTATGCTAACCACTGACTATTGAAATTTACTAGTTCAATCGCCGACAGTGATTCACTTACACTGCGACTGGTATATTTGCTGAACTTTTTGCTTGCGTGTGTTTTAATATAAATGATGTTTTTCTTTAAGAATGGGTTTCAATTTAAATTACAATGTCACTTTGAAAAATGTAATGACCTAACTAACCTGATAGCTTCTTATTGTTTCGTTTTACTTACACCGTATTATCTAAACATGTTTAACTGTTTTACTATTGCTAAGATTTTAGATTATCGTTTAGGTTGCGTTGGAGTCATTTGGTTTGTTGGATGGATGTTTTTGGTATTTGATTCACCTGTTTGTCATCCAAGAATTTCTGAACAGGAGAAAATGTACATCTTACAAACACTTAAATCAGAAGTGGATATAAGTAAAACGGTAACATATTACAATATGATGATGAGTTGCTTTGAGTGGCATTTATCGAAACAGTATTTGCTTAAAAGGCAGAACATTTTCAAAGTTTTTTTTGCATATTTATTAATTAATAGTCTGCTTACTAAAGACCTCATTGATTATAATCAAAATTTAGAGATCTAATTTTTGTCGCAAATACGAATCTATGTATCACGAAAGATTATTGTCCTATATAGATTTATGAAACGTGCATAGAAAATTCCGCGTTAGTTCACCTGAAAGTATTACATTTTTAAAAAAAACAATTAAGAAACATTTTAATACAGAAATGAAAGCAGCACATACATTCAAAATGAATGTTTTACACAAGACTTCCGAAAAGATTATATTCTTCATATCCAAAATTAATATATACCGCAATTTCATCCTCGACAAAATTTGTTAAGCAAGAATTCACAGATCTGGGGTGAAGCGTTTAACTTGTTTTACATTTTTTGGTTATTTTGCACTACCAGTACTGCCATGATTAAAAAGCACATTGGTACAGTCCTTTTAAGATGATTGTTTATTGGGACGTAGTTTAACTTCTTTTATATGTCTATTTTTGATTTTATGCTTTTATACCAGCTATAACAGATAATCTATACCAAAATCTCTATGAATTAGATCAGATTGTTGAAAACATTGCTTATCCATAATAAAATTGATTTTTCCCCACTTGTTGCAAGGATTTTCTTTCTGTCATACACAGAAAGCATACGCGGGAAATACGATTCGGTTGCTTTGATAATATCCTTACGTAAGATGTCTCTTTTCTAATCAAATGATAAAACATGCCAATTAGTTCTTCGGTGTTTGTTTGTTCATCTGTCATCAACATTTCAGTCTACAGCTATACCGTGGTCAAGGATGTTATCTTGCTCTTCTGTTTGGGCAATAATTGTTTCGCAAGCATGTTCGGAATGGGGACTTTATGCTTTCATGACCAACATACCAAGTTACATGGAAGATGTCTTAGAGTTTGAAATCAAAAACGTAATCAAAAGTTTTATAAATTTTGTCAGTTTGGTGAGCTAAAATAAAAGAGGTACACTATCCAATTCATTGGAACAATTTCGGCGCCAAATGTCTGCATCTTTATAACTTTGTTGTTATTGATACCGGTAATGTATTTTTCATGGTTTACATACTTAAATGATTTATAACCAACTACAGTTAGCTGTTAATATTTATCCTGCTCAAAAAAGTAGAACTTAATTACCTAGACCTATAAAATGTCATAGAACCCATAAGAATACCACATCATTTCGTCATTTCGTCGTTGTAATTTAAGTTGTTAGTTCATACGCTATTGTAAGAAAATAGTTATGGATGAAATGACTTTAATTTCCATGAACATGTATCATATTGAGGTGAACCATTTTAAATATGAAATAATATGGCAGAATATGCAAGAAAAAATATCTGACATATGTTTGCGGTTCAGATCGGAATATCCGTCACTCGGGAACCCTCCCATGGGCGGTAACTCGGCAAGCCTCGCAAGCCGAGTTACCGCCCAATGGGCGGGTCCCTCGAGACGGATATTCCGGTCCGAACCGCAACATATGACAGATATTATTAATCTCGTGATATTAGGACTGATTTTAAAACAGGAAATTATAAAGATTGCTGTGTGTAAATGATATTAAAAATGTTATATTCATGAAAGACTGGATTCCTTTCCTCGCTACCATACCTTGGATTCTTGGTTGTTTGTAACATAACAGGACTCCTTGCTGATGAGTGTATTCGAAAACGAGGTTGCATGACTAAAACAGTTATACGAAAAGTGCTGTCTGGATTTGGTAAGAAATGTAGATTTTCTAACCAAATCCTTAACAAATAAGCAAACTTTAAGATTGTTGTCTCCACTAAAACTGCAGGTAAAACTGACTGCGAGTCCGAACCATTATCTCGTAAGAAAGTTAGTACATTTATAAGGTAAACTTACAACAATATTTTACAGGAAATTTGTATTGATCTAGACTTCTTAGTTTGTGTTGTTTTAGCTGTATTTAAATCATTTATCTCGGTAAAATGATATAATTATTTTCGACAAAGTTCCAAACATTAACATTTACTATCGAAATACTATAGACTATTAATAAAATACTAAAACCCTTCATGTAATTTCTACGCCTAATATTGTACAGAAAGCTAGAAAATGACAAGTATTCCTTTTATGTTTACTTCTTTTTAAAGGGAGTATTCTTCCTGCAATATGCATTGTCATCATGGCAAACATTGCCGAAAACCCAAGTCTCGCAGTATCACTACTAACCATTGGAGTAGCTACGTCTGGTATTCAGTTCGGAAGTGGGTTTCTGGTAAATTCTGTAGAGATTGCCCCCATGTACGCAGGCATTATCTTGGCGTTTTCTAATTGCGCTGGCTCTTTATGTGGCTTCCTTGCTCCATTAGTAATTGGATTCATAGTCGAAGACGTAAGTTAATTAGTTGTTATAACATTATTTAAATTTACATGACTATATTCTTAAAGGCAAGATTTATTTCGTCTGATAAAAATAAGTTTTTTTTTATTTTGCCGAGATTCTTACTGTTAGGAAAAGAATGCAAGCTATATTATTTGGAATTCTGAATAAAGAGTACTCGGTATACAATTTACCAAAAGAGTATGTTAAAAGTTTTTTGGAAAAAGAAATCGATGGCAACTTTGAACGAAATTGTGATGAATATATCTAAATAATAAATTCAATTACACGGTTGATATTTATATATTGGTATATTATTAAGTTCTTATTTTTATTCTAGGGAACAAAAGAACAATGGAAGACCGTGTTTTATATAACGGCTGGGGTTTACATATTCGGGTCGACGTTTTTTGCTGTTTTTGCATCTGGTGAGGTACAGCCATGGGCATTGGAAGATAACCGTTATAATGAAGTTGAAGTCACTAATGACGGATCAAACCAAGAAAGAAAGATAACAGAAAATAATTGTAGCTATCAAATTGCGGCCGTTAAAAACCTAACGAAAGATGAACTAAAAGAAGTGTAAAAATAACTTGTCTGTGCATGTATGATATTGAACAAATTGTTTGAAGCATTACAAATGTCTGCTGAATTTGCTGTGAAATAATATTCAATACAGATCCTTTATCGAATCTCCGTACTATGAAATACCTTTTTATGTAAAACATTTTATAAACATATGCCATTGTTAACATAAGGGTACCGTTACGTTGTTTATTATTAACCTAATATAATCCATGCATGACTCGCATTAGAGGATATATGGACAAAGAAATTTTCAATAATTTATACAGAGGTCCATTGTCTGTTGTACTAAGGCTACAGGATTTTATTAGCTCTCGCTGAAGTTGTTAAAAATGATTTATCTTACAAAGTTAAAGATTCTTCGGAAGCGAATGGTTTATATAGCTGGTAAATATTGTTTTCACCATTTTGTCCGAGACGTTACCTTGAAATTTAAGTCAATATTTTTTTTTTTACCTAAAACTGATCTTATTGTGATAACCTTCTTAGCAACTGCACATAACTAACAGTTAAAATGTTATAATGATCGACATTTTATTTACACCCCTGCTATACTTCTAAGATGCTTAACTTTAACTTCGTAATTTTTTATTTCACCATTTTTTAAAATCTGGTGTGTAGCCCTTTTATGAGAATAAATTCATTAAAACAGATCAACGACCACAGAGCATGAATAAGTATTAGTTTTTGATAATACCAATCACTGACGGTCTTCAACTGAAATACTATATATACTGTGTATATCCAATTACGTAGGACATGACTTATTTGCCCTAAACAACACTGTTTATGTATTATAAGCGATGGATTATGTATTGCTTCCTTCTATGGTTGAACAGCCTGAGTAAATGTAAGTGTTGGCTAAAGTAAAGAATAATGTGGTCATTAATTAATGGGTTAAAAGTCATCAACGGAACACACAAGTCGTCTTTAATACAACAGTCAGGTCGACATTCTAACGAATGATCTTGTACAAGCAAACAATTTCTATGTAGATATTTTTATGAGGTTTGAAATATAACGTCTCAGCAACGGTATTCGCTTCTTCGTTTCTTTTAATTGTACGTGCAATAAAATAAATTGAATCATTTAATTACCATGGTGCTCGTTTTGGTAATAGAGTTACACAATTATACGTTTCTTTTTTGCACAATTACTTCGCTATTTGCACATTCCTCAATAACTAGATACACACAAAGATGGTTTGCAAAAACGAAAAACACAGTTGAAATACGAACACTATTGAGCAAAAGATTAAGCAAAGAATACATTATTGATATAACAAATATAACAAACATAAAACGTAGAAATTTGTTGGTGTTGTTTTTTTTGTTTTTGTTTTTTTTTTTTTTTTTTGTTTTTTTTTTTGTTTTTTTTTTTTTTTGTTTTTTTTTTGAAGCGGCCAATCATCACTTTTGAAGCATTAGAACGAAGTGAATAAAATACAAGGCTATAAAAAGAAATGTTATACATAAGTATAAGTGTGACTTATGAAAAGTATTTTAATGGGATGGTGGGCGACGAATGAGAAAAAGAACTAATCAGCAGCTTAGCAGTGATATTCAGCTTCATTCCAACATTCCAAATGTAATTCAGGAATATGAATTAATTGTAAGATGAGCGCTGTCTGAATGGGTTTTTGAGCGTGTTCCACAACCTCGCTTTTGAATTATGTATATAATTTCTACAATACTCAAGATTATGTTGTTGTTGTTTTTGTATGTTTTTTAATTTGGTTTTCTACACCTTTTATACCTGGAATTATTTGCAAGACCTAAAGAGGTGGCAAGAACATTAAGATTACCGGATTCCTGCTTTTTATATTTATTTTGAAATTTTATATGTTAACACTTCATGAGTGTTCAAGTTGAACATAAGTCCAAACCTCAATTTACTTGTAGTAATTTCACTTCGTCATCACATTTTATTGTTAAACACAAATTAGATCTCATGAAACTTAAAGTGTCTTTTTCCGTAAGTCATTGTCTTAAATTTATATAAGATTATGTTTCGTATGGTTTTCATAAATCAAGTAACTTATAGCTGTGTTAATTTGCCTCTAAACACTAAAAAAGATATTTTGATAGAATCAGACGCTTATTACAAAATATTTTTAAAATAAACTAAATAAACACAGTTGAGTGTAAAATGGTTGGACGCTTGGGGTTTCTATTATACTCAATTTTGTGTTTATTTGGTTTATCATAAAAATATTTTGTAATAAGCGTCTGATTCTGACAGATTTTTTCAATCAAAATATCTGTTCTGTTGTTTAAATCAGGTTATTATTATGTAATCAGAAGCGAAACTCAACACTGCAATTACATGTAGTTTCAGTAAATGTACATTTAAAATATAGAGGTTATGCCCGTGGAGGAAGAACTGTTATACGACGGATGGAGTTCTTATGATAACTTGTCAAGACTTCTGATAACTGACACGGAGTTCGTTGGAAAACATTTGTATATACTACAAAAATACTCGTCAAAAATGAAACTTTTCATCTTTAAGTAGTGGGTTTCATGTGCTTAATTAAACGTTAATGATAAAGCTTGCCTTACACCTTGTATTATGTGTCAAAAAATAATTCATAGGCAATTTACATCGCCTCTTGCTTAAAATCTGGTAGTTTTGAGTATTTGAGTAAAATTTCCAAAGTATTTGCCAATTCGCAAGTATTGACCTGTTTATTTCTGGTCTTCATCCATGCCATACATAATTACCTAATTATAATGCAAAAATTGTAAACTTTTGTTCGCAAAAATGTATTTAAAACAATACATATATATACAATAGAATTGAGAGAAACAAAATCCTTAAATAACGCTCAATATACACGGCAAAATAGGAAATCTTGCAGGCTTGATTTGACGGAGCCTGTTCATAGACGGTAGTGGTAATTGCAAGCTACCGGCCAAGCCCCCTAGCGCCGGATTAAGAAGAATTCAACGGTAAAATTTTGAAACACCCGCAGACTGACGTAAAAGGAGATAACATATTGTAATATTAAATTATAAACGTATATTATATAAAATCAAAATATCGCGTTGAAATTTAATCCATCTATATAACAAATTCAAGAGATAGTAGAGATATATGTATCGTGTTTTAGTATAAGTGGTATTAGGAAAACGATGCTTGTCACCTTTTAACTTGGTAGTTTGTTATGACATCGAAACAAAAATCCAGGCGGCATTCAAATGTAGGTTGTACTATATTTGTGAACCTAGTCCATAATATAGTGCATGATTTTGTTTTCAGTTTTTAAAAATTGTGAAGTAATAAATGATATGCATGTATCATAACATTTTCCAAAAACATTGTGCAATCCTGTTGTATTATTTTACTACTAGCAGTTATAAACGTAGATTAAAGTAATTTCACAAAAATAACTGTATTAAAAATATACAAAATATAGAAAAAACGGAAGCCCTCGACAAAACTGAAAATGTTGCAGTTCGATTTAATTGAACCTGTTCTTGGACGGTAATGGGAAGTGCAAATTATCGATCACGCCCCCTAGCACCGGCTTAAGCAGAATTCAATATTTAAACACGAAAATTGTTACATTTGAATTTAGAAATATCCGCAGATGAAGACTAGCGTGATAACGATTCTTATTCTTATTGAATATTCATGGTTTTTGTTGTTGTTGTTGTTGTTGTTTGTGTTTTTTATTCAAAGTCTAGTAGATAAATACACCTTCTTCGAACTATTTCTTTTTGGGTCTCTTTCTTGTGTATATAACATACATATCTAATATTCGGTTGAGAGATACTGTGTAAGCAATTCCATGCAAATTTTAAATGTAAAAGCATAATTAATTGTAAATATGACATGATTGTATGATACTATTCCCACGAAAAGTATGTGCAAAAGTGAGATAATAAATCAAGGCGTTATGTATACCGATTGTAAAACACAATATACATGTATAATGTTTTATTTTGTACACCTAACTTGGATACTTATAAAACCATTTAAAATCCGTACTAAAAAGTTGGGTTTTTTTAAACAAATACTAAAAAGAAATCAAACGTTTTTAACTGTGCAAACTATTATAGCGAATTATAGAGAATGCCATTTTCAGTTTTGACTGAAAGTTTTAAAAGAAAGTTATTATTAGAAAGTAAAAATATAAATTTATCTTAATCAGATAATTTCACAAACTCTGACAGTTAAAACAAGAGCACCGCTAGGCGGAGCATTATATGCCCGAAAGTATTTTTTTTCTTAGTAAGGATGACCTTAACCGTTGACCTTTTGACCCCAAAATCAATAGGGGTCTTCTACCCAATATGGACAATCATCCTATGAAGTTTGAACATTGTGGGCCAAATGGAACTTAACATATGCTCCGGCAACTGTTTTCAGTATCAAGGTAATAGTGACCTTCACCTTTGACCTTTTGACCCCAAAATCAACACGGGTCTTCTACCCAATATGGACAATCATCCTATGAAGTTTGAACATTGTGGGTCAAATGGAACTTAAGTTATGGGTGGAAACATATTTTTCAGTATCAATGTAATAGTGACCTTCACCTTTGACCTTGTGACCCCAAAATCAATAGGGGTCTTCTACCCAATATCGACAATCATCCTATGAAGTTTGAACATTGTGGGTCGAATGGAACTTAAGTTATGCTCTGGAAACTGTTTTCAGTTATAAGGTAATAGTGACCTTGACCTTTTGACCCCAAAATCAATAGGGGTCTTCTACCCAATATGGACAATCATCCTATGTAGTTTGAACATTGTGGGCCAATTGGAAATTAATTTATGCTCCGGAAACTGTTTTCAGTATCAAGGTCATAGTGACCTTGACCTTTGACCTTGTGACCCCAAAATCAATAGGGGTCTTCTTCCCAATATGGACAATCATCCTATGAAGTTTGAACATTGTGGGTCGAATGGAACTTAAGTTATGCTCTGGAAACTGTTTTCAGTTATAAGGTAATAGTGACCTTGACCTTTGACCTTTTGACCCCAAAATCAATAG